AGAAGAAAACAGGAAAAAAGTCTGTGACTTTGATTTATGCAATGACTTCTTAGCTAGGACATACAATATGAATTGTAAAAGAAAAAAGTGGACCAACTGAACTCAACAAAATGAAAACTTCTGCTCTTTAAAAATAGTTAAGAAAATTAAGAGACAAGCCCTAACCCTAACCCTAACTTACAAACTGTACGTGTTCCCAGAATAAAGAATTAACAACTTAAGATACTGACTAAAGATATGCAAAAGATTTGAACACTTTCCAAAAGAACATGTATACATGGCAAACAAGTACAAAAAGATGCTCAACATCATTGGTAATTAGGGAAATGCAGATTAAAATAGTGCATCAGAATGACTAATGCGACAACAGCAAGAGTTGGCGAGGAGTCAGAGCAACTAGAGCTCACACCTGCCAGTGCGGGCGTGAGATGGTCCGACTAACCACTTCAGAAAGAGCGTGGAGCTCCCTTAGCAGGTCAAACTGATGCTTTCACGTGACCAGCAATTTTACTCCTAGGTATTTACCCAAATGAATGAAGATATATGTCCACATGAAGGCTTGTACACACATGTTTATAGTAGCTGTGTCCATAATACACCAAAACACAGGAACAACATGGGCATCTATTAACAGTAACACATAAATAATTTTTGAAATCGTCATACACTAGAATATTCAGTGATAAAAAGAAATGGACTACTAATCACACAACATGGATCAATCTCAAAACATGCTGAGCAAAGGAAGCCAGAAACAAACCAATATATGTAAACAATTCCATTTACATGAAGCTCTAGAAAAGACCAATCTCATCGTTAGGGACAAGCGTATCGGTGGTTGTCTGGCGTGAGTGTGATTATGGGAAACTGAAAAGGAAGGGGCACAAAGGGAATTAATTTAGGTGGTGGAAATGGAAACGTTCTATATCTCACTGTGATAGTGCTGATGTGGGTATATACATTTGTCAAACCTTAGAGAACGGTATGCTTAAAATGCATACATCTTATTTTATGTAAATTATACCCTAATAAAGTTGATATAAATAAAAATACTGAGTGAGCTGAAGCATTGACATTGTTTTCCCTCCCAAAATATTCTTCCCTTTTGGACTTCTCCGGGCAACTCCACAAATCAGCTGAGTGGGTACAATAGTTGTGTGACACTGGACAAATAAGTTATTCTTCTGAGCTGAGCAAGTTTCCTTATCGGTGGAATGAGTGGATTATACTATTAAGTGACTTCATTCACTCATTCATTCATTCATTCATTCAATAATCAGTTATGAAAGCCCACTGTGGGGCAAGCGCTACACCAGGTGCTACCACACAAAGCTGAGAAACCATTTTTGCCCTTAAGGAGTCACAGTCTAGTAGAAGAGGAGGATACCCAATATAATTATGGTACAACTTGTGCCTACTTAGGGTTTGAGGAGCGTTCCTAAGAGAAGCAGTCTTCCCTGGTGATGCAACACCTGAGCTGGGTTTTGAGGTTACAAGTACGAGTCAGGTTGAGAGGGAAGAGAAGGCATTCTAAGCTGAGGGTACTGTATGGGTGCAGGACCAAAGGAGAGAGACATACTATGTGTTCATGGTATTTCAGGTAGCTGAGTAGGTCTGGAACATAGAATTCATGCTTGTAAGGTCAGGGTGTATCTTGATTTTGAAAGTTAAAAAGGATTTCTTTTGTTTAAAGTATACAAACAGGGGTCCTACCAGATAGTGATACCCATGATGCAGTGGACCACCTAAACGGTGAAACAACTCTGCCTTCAGTGAAGGTCCTTCCTGTTGCAAAGAGAATCTTTGGGCTCACATGATGAACAGTCCGGGGGTGCCTTGGGGATCAACAAGGCCAACAGAACAGCTTTCCATTCTCTCTATCCCTAGGCTTCCGAGGCTCCAGACCCCACACCCTCTCCTTTTCATATCCAGCTTCCCTGGAGATGAAACGAAGCCTCGCAATCCAGCTACACCGGCCATCTTTGGTCTCGGACTGCGTACTGACCCTGAAGTACAACCCCTCTGGCCAGGAGGCCGGCATACGGAGACTGGCCTGGCCAGGACCCAGACATCCTGGCGCTGGGAGTCAGCCTCACCTGAAGTTCGTGGGTGCGGAGTAGATTACCAAATAAGAAACTGAGCCTTTGTGGAAGAAGGGGACTAGATACTGAGGAGAAATTATGTGTTAAGAAAAACAGATCCCAACCACTTTCAGAGTAAGTCAGGAGCTACAAATGCATACATATGGACAAACTTCTTTTTTCATCTCCCGTATCAGGACTTGTCAATGAAGATGGACTGAGGTGAAATAATGTGAGACCCAGAACATGCATACAGAAGGCTACCACTCAATATTCTCAGCACCACATCAGTGGACGAACAGCTGCGTAAGAACAAAGACAAGGGCATACTTCTGATTTACAGCTCTAGGGTATCGTCACGAAAGAGGTCTTTTTTACTGGGGCCTTGGGAAAGGAGGTCCTTCTGGCAGAGACAAAGAGAATGGGCAGAGCTGGTGGCGGACCAGCATGTGACTGGGGAGGCTGAAGTTCAGGACACAGGCGTGGTGTGGCAGCACAGCAATGGGAAAACCGAGTTGTGGAGAACTCCCCCGCCCCTTTGCCACAGAGCCCACACTCTATCTGTCACACAGTGGGGTGCCGCGTAACGTTTTAAGCTTGTAAGTGACCCAACTGAATCTGTATAGAGAGAGCTGTAGGAGTTGATTAGAGATTTCCTGAGGTAAGAAGGAAGAAGATATGTATACAGGGGGTAAAGCTAAGTTTCAAGGTGGAAGGTTGAGAGGGAGTTCAAGGCTAATGGTCCCTCTCTTCCCTATGAAATATGGAGAGTGCCTGCTGAGTGTTAAGGGGGCGCCATGCAGTGAGAAGAGCTGGAAATGTCAATCAGCCTGCATGCTGCATTACCAAAGCATCACGATCAAAAAAACTGTTCAATGAACTCTTCTAAAAGGTCATGCACATGACATTGGTGGATGAATTGAAATCCATAAGATTTCAATTTGTCTTTTAGTCTATGTCACCATCAGTGCCAACGCCATAGGCAGAATAATGACATGAGCATCCATGGTCACCCAGGTCCATGTGGAGCACTGGCGGAGCAGAGGAGAGGTGCCGGAGGATGGCAGGGCCTGGTGAGGAGAATGCAGGAGAAAGGAAGCCGACAGAGGCAGTGTGAGGAGGTGCCATTAGAGTTAAAGATGGAGTGGGCAAGGCAGCTGACTGCCCTCGATGCAGCGTCTCCACAGGCAGCTCAGGGCAGCACACGGCCGAGTGCGGTTTGTGAGCGGGGTAGCAAATAGTGTGGCAGCCTCCAGGCTTGGCTTTGGGACTCAGATCCTGAACTACTGGCTGGAGCCACTTGTTCCAAATGTGAGCATCTGCTGTGCCAAGCTACATTCTTTTTTTAATAGATACAGTCTCAAATTACCAAATCAAGTCATGCGGACGCCAATGAGGACAGATAGTCTTCATGCGTTCTCTTCTGCCACTGGACCTCACAACGCCACCCTTAAAGCCAATTCCCAGTGCTTTGTATTTGCTTGGTGCTTTCGCAGTTAAAAAAAATCCCTTTCAAATATGTTTTCCCATTTGGTCTTACTGAGTCCTGTGAGGTAAACAGAGCAGATAAATAATTTCCTGCCGCCTGTCCGCCCTCCCCCCGCTGCGAGGGCAAGAGCGAGAATGCTCTCCGGACTCACAGCTGGAAGCAGATCCGCCTGGCCCAGCGCGCCTGTCCGCTGGGTCACTGGGCTGCTGCTGTTAACAGGCGTATGAATGTTCTCCTCAAGAAAGAGGCCACAGATGGGCGTGTCTGCACAAATTTGGCCCTGATCACTTAAAACTCTCTCTTCCGGACACATTTGTCTCCTCATTTTCTCAGAGCGAGGGAAGGAGGGAGATTACAGTCACAGACGCGCACATAACCATCCTCGTGAGGAGCGTGCATCTGCACACACACGACAGCACAGCATACGATCTAAGTGCATGGCCTGCAAACACAATGAAGTGGAGTTTATTAGGAATCAATTGCTGAATAAATTATTTAGTCCTTAATAAGTCAACAAGTGCTTGATGAATAAAAATGTATATTTTCAAATTAATACCTAGTTATAGCAAACTCTACCACACTTGCAGTATTATGCTAACCCTCACATCATTCTTTATACATACTCTATAAATAAATGACTCATGAATACATTTGGATAAAACCATACAATTCTAAGCATTCAGTAAGAGTATCAACCTATTGATTTAGAGTTTTGTTAAAATGATCAGCATTTGGAATTTGAGCCCAAAATCAAGACAATGGTTTTTGGACTTTTTTCTTTTCCTCTACTATTACTCCATATTACATAAATGGTAGGCCCTTAGGAACTAATATACAATAATATTCACTTACAATAAAGACCAAATAAGAGCAATGCCTTGCATAATGTCTTCAGTTCTGGAACGAACATCTAGCATCTACTTCTAGTCTCTCTGAGATGCTCTTCCCTAGAAGTAAATCTCATTAAGCCAACTGTCTGCAAAAGCGAAAACGGTTTGGGTTTTTCACGCCCTTCTTTGCCTCCTTAGGTGTCCTCTTTGTACAACTTGCAAAGTAACAGATTCTGGCAACTGGCCTCGGCAACGTCAAGTCTTGTAACCAAGAGATGGAAGGTTGAGAAGTTCGAACAGATCACTCCATCATTTTGACTTCTTTTTCAGAAAATAACGAGTGTAATATTGTCAGAGGGACCCAACTGTATCTGACGCTCCCCAGTACAAAACATTGAGGGAGAAAATAAATAGACAGAAAATCTCTGATGAGAGAAACATTGTTAAAGACACCAGAGCACATCTGAATCTCTACTTAAAAGCATTATCTTTTTCAAGTCTTCCCCACATCCTACCCCACGCCTGGTTCCGAGGAAGAGCAATTTATAAGACAAAACAATACAGTATCTAGAGATAAATTTACAAACTGACATAAGAGAGTTGTCCCAGAGGCTACATTACCTCTTCAAGTTTATTACAGTATCTTTAGTTCTTATTGCATATATTGTTACATGCTTTTTCCAAGTCAGGATTATATACAAAGTATGCTCACTTTAGCAGAAGTTTAGTCTATTGCTTCTCTCTTGAAAAATCAGCAGCATGCAGTGCAATATTTGGTGCGCTGAGTTATTTTCTCAAAAAGTGAAAAACTACCTAGGTTTAAGGAGGGAACATGATCTTATATTGGCATATATGCGAAGTTTAATTTTGGTTTTATGCAGACTTTGCATAGTTCATGATTAGTTTCTATTGAAAAACTAGATGTGTTCTCAGTGACCTTGAAGAAGATCAGGTAACAGTGGCAAACAAAAAAATTTGAAGAAGAGGCATAACTTTTAAAGTAGAAAGGTCAGCAAGAACTGCCTGAAACAAAAACAAAGAATTATTAATGTCAGTATTCTGATCAGCAAAGTGAAGCCTACACAATAAGGTACAGCAGAAACACCATTACAATGTAATCCTGGCATCAGCACACACTCGAAGCTCTTCAGGTTTGTCCTAACCCTCCGTAATAAAGCTACAACTTTCCTTCTCCTTTCTGAGTATCTTAATGTTAGAACACGTTCAGAATGCTAACAAGGACTGCAGCCTTGAGCCTTCTTCAAATATACAAGGTAGCATGGGTTTATAAGAGGTCTAACATTTCAACTTGCTTCTATAAATAAACGCACGCTATGAGTCCTAGCTCTGTTGTAGTAGTATGAGGAGGAGCTGACTTCAGGAAATCATTCTGAGATGGAACTGATGTTTATTCAGTTGCAAGATGCATAAACATCCTCTTCCCTTTAAACAAAGAATGTAGGCAGCTATTTTAAGGATAAAATTTAGGTTTATTTGAGAGATAACTAAGTAATACAGTAAGCCACTACTTAATTTACGCACATTTCAGGTCTGACTTTTACTATTAAAAAGAAAGCAGCTTTAAATAATTAACTCACAATTAAAAATAACCGGAAAAGCTCATGTGTCTTTACTGCATCATCCAAATGCATGCCCTCCCACTTTCTCGGCCGGTTTTTCCTTGTTGTATGAGCGTAACACATGGATTGGAACACTTAATACGAAAGCACAACCTAAGACCCAGTGGTTTCTGTTAAAACTACTAGGTTTATTGTTTCCCATAATGGTTGTAATGGTTTTCTATAATAGCCTTGTTTATGACTCCCTCACAAGAAGACTACTTTCAAGTCATTAAAGAGCTTTGAATACTTAATATTACTTAGCTCTGAACTCGCAGGTTTCACCCAAGTTAAAAATCAGGCTGCAAGTGAAGTGTGCCTTGTGCGTCTGGGCTGAAGTGCCCAGGCTGGCAGAGTCTCGGGAGCTATTTCCATCCACAGGAGTGAAACTTATCCTTACTTCAGCTGCAGCCAGTGATGTCACCTCCATCAGGTTGACCGCGCGGAAGGCAAACACCGCAGCTGCCAGGACTGGAAAAGAACGCACACTGGTTTGACTGCTGGCCTGCACGCATCGGGCCGACAAAGTCACGGCTGCGCCCACACGCCCTGCGCGAGCTGTGGACTAGTGCTTCGCCCGGCCACACGCCTGCATGGGGAGTGCTGGTCTGGCCACGAGTGGAGAGTCTGTCCTTTGGAGAACAGCACCTGGTGGCTAGGTGAACCCGATCTCAGAGTGGCGGGGGAGGGGGGTGGAGAAAGGGCAATGCAATGGCCTGAAAAAAGCCATTTGAGAAACTGTTCCTTTCATGCTTGCAAGTTAAACTGTAACAAACAGTTTTTAAATGGCATGAAGCTCTAATGACCATCTTAAAAATTACAGTTTATTTTGATGCAGGTGTTTCTTATTCATGCAATAGAGAAAGTTACATGGAGACTGAATGTATAAACACAGCACATCATGTTTCCCATGTATTGAGGTGGCATCCTGATAAAAATGTGGCAATAACACCTTTTCTTAAAAATATCCTTGTAATGTGTCATATTTCTCTTTTTATCCCTGGCATTGAGCCTTCCTGAGGTGTCACAAATGGATGCGTCTGCGGGGAGGGCTGCTGTCAGTCTGACCTGGTGCTTGTTTTCATGTTGGCTATAGGGACTAGTTGAAACTTTGGAAACAAACAGTAGAGGTGAACATTCTAGTTGGAGTGGAAGACAACACTTGGATTTTTGTTTCCATTAAACATGTGCATTTGAACAATAAGCAATGCTAACACATGAGGGAACGAGCCAGCACGAACAATGGAAGGACCCATGTAAGAGGCTGGCAGCCCTGACAAGGAGCCAGTCCTCCCTGGGGTGACTAGACTTCTGCCCCACCCTTTCATTTCCTCACCAGTGGTGGCGATGCACGGACTGCCCAAGGAGTACTGAGTTTTAGGAAGTGAAATCTACTCCATTATCTAGAAGACTGGTTCCCAACATGCTGCAGAGCTAATGCAAATACATGAGCATATGCATACACACATACTTTTACTAGGGGAATACTGATCATAGCAGTTAACCCTTATACCAACTCTATGAGTTAAATACTGCTATCAGCACCATTTTACTAACATGGACACTCACTGAGGCACAGTGAGTTTGGGTGGCGTGTGTGAAGTCACACAGGTTGAAAACAGTGGACCTAACACACCTGGCTCTGGACCGAGCACCCAACTACTACGCGATGACACTGCTTGGATGGAAGGTGAGCGGCCACGGCTTATTCCTGACACGGAAATCTGTGTGCCTTCCCAAGAACGGTCTCCTCAGCTGCCCCTCAGAGTGGTCTGCTGGGGATGGCATGCAGGTGATGCCCCCGTGGCCGGGCTCTCACGGGGAGTTTGCTGTGCCTGAGGAGGAGAAGGCAGGACCCAGGCCTCCCGGTTTCCCCTGCACAGGCAGAGTGCAGCCAGCGACCGGGAAGTGCAGGCGTTTTTCTAGGGGACGACAGATTTTGGAGAGCTTGGCAAAAAAAAACATTATAATTAGAAAAATTCTGGGGGAAAAATAGTAGTGATAAAACAAAAGTTTTAAAGTTAATCAGCTGGGGTTATTTAATATGTAACAAGGCATTCAAGAGATCTGGGATGAAGAATTTACCCTTTGACTGAAAAAGAGGAAACTTAAGTAGTTTGAAGTCACTGGGCTTCTCTGGTTGCAAGAACATCGACGAAAACCATTTACGTGGACCAGCCACTTCTTTACAGCTCCCTAATACGCGGAACTGTACTTGACAATGGAGACACTCCAGGGGCTGAGGAGCGTGAGCACTACTTCCTGTTCTGTGTGTAACTGAACAGAGTTGGTGAAAGCTTGGCAGGACGGTCACATTTTCTGCTGTGGCAGGAAAGAGTTTTACGTGGCGGGAAATTACTTTTCCAAGTGCAGATAAGAGGAGGAAAAGAGAACAGCTCACTAATTGACCTCGGCATCCAAAGGCTCATGTGCTCACGACCTCTGATTATCTTGGTGTCACATCACAGGAGTTCCTTTCCGACTGCTGCGTGCTGGCTGTGCCCTGCCCTGCCAACAGAACAGGCTGCTGTGCCAAGGAGAAAAGGTCTATACTTGAGCATATTCTCAGCTGAAAACATGTTTCACATGAAATATAGAAATGCTAATATTTACTTTGGTCTTTTAAACTATTGTTATTACTTTTATTTTAAGCAACTTCTATCATGAACATTAAGGCATCTTTGCTTTAAACCAGGGGTATCAAACTCATTTTCACCAGGGGCCACATCAGCCTCGCAGTTGCCTTCAAAGGGCCGAAATAATTTTAGGACTGTGTAAATGTAACGACTCCTTAACCGTTAAGGAGTTAAAACTACATTTGGTCCACTGGGGGCAACCACAAGGCTGATGTGGCCCTTCAGTGAAAATGAGTTTGACACCCCTGCTTTAAACTGTTCTTCAAAAGGCTCTAATTAATTCAAAATGAAGCCAGTAATATTTACTAAAATATTTCTAAGGACTATACATAATAACTCAATTAAGAAAAGTGAGCCCAAAATATGTAGGCCAAAAAATAACAGCATATTTTAAATAATCAAATCCCTGTGGCTCTTTATTTGAATGTATCTGAGTTGCATTTCTAGATGTTCTAAAATTCTTCCCTGTTGATTTTTAAACATCATACAAGGAGAGCGGATGGATGCAGCACTGTGGACTGAATCTCTACCCAGTCATCAGTAACGTTTTCACTAAGGTACTGAGTTCACAGCACTGTGCCTGCTTAGAGCAAATGTAGTATTCAGTATTTATTTATTTCTGTTTCAATTCAGTTTGCTGAGGGGTGAAGAGTCACAGAATGAAAGAATTTAAATTGGAAGAGGTCTTCAAGGTCTTCTGATTCAACATTTCTTTCATGGTAGAAAACCCCTTAATCCTTCAGGTAACAATCAGAAGGTTCCATTCTACTTTGGAAAAGTCCTAGTTATTGGAAAGTACCTTCCTATAGTGAAACCCTTTCTTTAACATACTCCAGTACCTTTTTGGAATGAGACAAAAAGCTACATACAATACTTTCAAAACTTAGAACACACCCTGAGGAGAGGTATTCGGTGGAATGTCTAAAATCCTGAGACATTCCTGAGACATCGCTGAGAAATGGTAGCGGCAAACAAATCTGTTCAGCCGGGAAGACGGAGGACTCTGGGGAAAGGAGGGATCTGTGTGAGCAGAAAATAACGTGAGGCTGATGCTGGTCTCGGACGATGCTGGTCTCAGACGTGTGTGTTTCAGCAAGTCCTGCCACCCAGAAGGGGAAGGGAACCGGTGACCTGCGGAGCCAGGAGTTACTCCACACCGGGGTGTTCGAGCCTCGGGTGAGCACTGCCGGCCAGACACACGCCCAAGGGGTTAAACCCGATGACTTCTAAGGTTCCTCCTATCTCTAGCTTGTGCACATCACTGCCATTCGGCCCAGAGAGACAGGGCAGGTCACTCTTTCCTAACTCACATTTGGATGGGCACTACAAACAACTGAGATGGGAGACTTCAGTGTGTGACACTGCTGATTACACCGGGGGGGGGGGGGGACGGGGACTTATCTGCTCGGCGTTTTATTGTAATTCCAAATTTCCTTTTCAAAATCCCACCCAATTACTCCAGACCCCTTGGTGTTCGACAATGTGTTAACGTGGTACCTAGAGAATCTTCTACAAGAAAAACGTCTTCTTCGTTTCAGCATTACTTCCACAATACCCCAGAAAAGTGTCTTTATAATAATACCAATATATGGTAGGGAAACAAAGGCTCGCACAGGTTAAAAAATTTATCCAATACCACACAACTGGAGAAGGTCGGACCCAGCATTCTGCCAAGTTTCCTGCTTTCCATCCATTGTTGTGAAATCCATGTGATGTTTATTTTAATTTTTCAGATAATCCCAATGATAAAAATAACTGAGTCTACTTTGTACTACAGAAGCAAAATCATATAATCAAGAAGAAATCTGTGCCCTATGTGTTATCATGCAGCTGTTTTGCATGACATCTCTTGTAAGAACTGCTTAATTATTAAATAAGAGGTGAATCTGTGGCTTCCAGAAAAAAAACATGAACTGATTTTGGCTTAAGAGAATACCTGAAAGAGTAAGTGCAGCCACGAGGGCAGTGGGCAGCCCGGGGGCAGAAAGGCAAGGGCGCTGAGTTCAGGACAAAGTGCAGTGCTGAGCGCCGGGACGTCAGTTGTGCAGCGGGGCTCGGTGTCAGACCGGACTTCGGGTGGAAGCCCCGAAGGGCACAGAACAAACACGAAGGCAGTCAGAGGAGTCCCGGGTGGAACTACACACACCCACGCGCTGTGGCACAGACCTCCCGGGCGCTGAGGGGCAGTGAGCCCGGGCTGCACTAAAGGGGGGGGGGGGAGAAAGGGCCCTTTTGGGGGGTGGAAAAGAAAGACTCGGAAAAGACTGTAGGGCAGTAACACAGAAGTACAGTATCCACATCACAGCATCTCAGTACGTGTCTTCTAAGGCAGATAAGCCCACTAAACGGTCATGAATTAGCAATGATAGGTAACTGTAGACTTAAACTCCAATCACAGATGCTGAATGTTAGGAAGGTAAAGGGCTTTACTACAGAAACCACACGTGTTTTACAAAGAAGCACTTACTCTTACCAGCAAGAAGTTCCAGAGAGTTGTACCCTAGGATTCTATCCCACAAAAGCAGGAGCTGATCTGTAGCTAAGTATCCGGAGAACGCTCGAACCATCCATTTAAATGATATGCGAAGTCTGTAAGCAAAGGGAAAAGAAAATATATTTTACTAGTGTTTTTTTTTTCTTTCAAAAGGCAATCATCTCACAAAAGGTTGGGACCGATTCTACTGTTGAGTGTTAGAAATGACCTGGGCACTCACAACTCCAGCACTCGCTTAAAAGCTGCAGAAGGACAATGATGAGAAGCCATGAGTGCTCGAATTAGTGGTCCCCAAGTACCGAAGGGATGATTAGGCCCACTTGGCCCTCCTTCGAGCTACAGTTCAGCCTTGAGCAGACTCGCTTCTGCCTTCTGTCTTCAGGGTGTGCACTGGTTAGCTACCAATGAGGTGATCTCATCGCCAGTTTCAGGCGAGCCACCATCATTTGAACTTTTTCTGAAATACTCGAAAGAGTGCAAGATTGCTGCATATTTTTCCTCGTGAATAAACTATACTCCTACATTCCAGTTAAATGGCCACATAGGATAAATGCAAGTTCTTGAAGACCAAGAAAAATACTTCTCAAGTTATAAGGGAACTTAGAAATAATTTCTAATTTCAAACACTTTTAAAGAGGAGGTTATCAGAACTCTGAAAGATCAACTAGAAAATGCAATTAAATTCCATTGGCCCCCTGCCCCTAAACCCACCATTGCAAAGAGGCACAAGATCCCACCATTTAGAAGTAGGTTATGTTACAATAACAATTTATCTCTGGAACCAGGAAATCAATTCCTTGGCTTCGATGCTTTAAGAGATAAACCAGTTCCTCACATTTCTGTACTATCCTTTAGTGTGCGAACGTCATTTTTCTGCCCGAGACGTGCTAGCCAAACTCTTTGCTGGGAATGGTATAATATTATGTAGGTAAATACCTGTGCTATTTTCTTAAAGCAAGAGATAGGGACCCAGAGATTGCGTTTGTTGGTGTCATATTAAATTCCTTAAGAGTGAAGAAGACCCTGAAGTTCTAGAAATTCCTCAATATGAGAGAGGTAACTATTGTTCTAAAAAAATAATATTGAAAAATGAAGTGTTTTGGTTGATTTTAAATTATTTTTAGGATGCCAAAAAAACTTTTGGTCACTAGATATTTAAAATTTTTTAATTCATTTGGTTTTTAAGTCTAAGTTATTAACGTCAAGTAGTTGCACTTCACTGGACCATTCAGAGCACCTGATTAGAACCACAGTACCACACCCTGCGCTCTCCCCATGCACAGCATGGAGGCAGTTTCTCAGAAATACAGTTTTGTGAGACGTAATTTAGGGATGGTAGAATTTACCCTTATCGATGCACAGTTCTATGAGTTTTGTTACCAACCAGTGGAAACTTTGGAGCTGAAAAATATAACAACAAAAATGACTCCTCACTGGATGGCTCCAACAGCAACATGAAAACGACTAATGAAAGAGCCAGTGAATCTGAGTCTCCATCAGTAGAAAGAATCCAATCTGAACCAGAGTGAAAAGTACTGAAAGTACAGGGAACAGAGCTTCAGGAACCTGTGGCATAAGGCTAAAAGTTAACATTTGTATCATTAGAATCCCAGAAGAAAAGGAGAATAAATGTGGTGGGGCGGGGGAAAGAAAGCATTTAAAGAAGTAATGGTTGACAACTTCCTAAATTTGGCAAAAGACATAAATAAACCTACAGATTCAAGAAGCTCAGCAAACCCCAAACAAGATAAAGCCAAAGAAATCCATGCCCAGATACAGCCTACTCGAACTTCTGAGAACTAAAGACAATGACCGTGATAGAAGCCAGAGAAAGCGAGAATTGATATTATTTATCCCTAAATGTTTGGTAGAATTTGAATAGTTAAGTCATCCAGGACTGGAATTTACTTGGAGGTAGAATGTGATTAATTGAAGATATATATTATAAGCCGTAGGGCACTATTAGAGACTGAATGTCCGCATCCCCCCACGCAACAATTTATATGCTCACGCACTACCCCCAATGTCAGGTTACTGGAAAAGAGGGGACCTCTGGGAGGGAATTCAGAGTAGATAAAGGCATGAGAGTAAGGTCCTCGTGAGCAGGACTAGCATCCTCACAAGAGCCAGGAGAGACCTTGTCCTCCTCTCTGCTCTCCACGGCATGAGGATGCAAAGAGAAGCTGGCAGGCTGCACCCTACAATGGGGTCCTCCCTGGAATGGCTGTGCTACCATCCTAACCTTGGGCTTCCAGTCTCCAAATCGTCAGAAGGAGATTTCTGTTGTTTATAAGCCATGCAGTTTATGGTAATTTGTTACAGCAGACTGAACTAAGAAAGGCACCTATGAAAAGAACGCTTTTTATCCTCAAAAAACTAAAAATGGAACTGCCTTTCGATCCAGTGATCCTACAGCTGGAATTATATCCTAAGAATCCTAAAACACCAATTCAGAAGAATCTATGCACCCCGATGTTCACAGCAGCATTATTTACAATAGCCAAGTGCTGGAAACAGCCTAAGTGCCCATCAGTAACTGAATGGATCAAAAAACTATGGTACATTTACACAAGGGAATGCTACACAGCAGAAAGAAAGAAGGAGCTCCTACCCTTTGTAACAGTATGGATAAATCTGGAAAGCATTATGCTACGTGAAATAAGCTAGGAGGCGAGGGACAAATACCATATGACCTCACCTATAAGTGGACACTAATCAACAAAACAAACAAATGAGCAAAATATAACCAGAGACATGGAAATAAACAACAAGCTGACAGCTCTTTTCAGAGGGAAGAGGGGAGGGGGATAGTGAAGGAAAGAAGGGGAAGGGGCAAGCAAAGGAACACGAATAGAGGACTCGTGCTCACGGACAATGGGGGGATGGACTGTGGGGATGGGGGACAGGGTAGGGTGAGCAATGGGGGAAAAGGCGGGACAACTATAACTGAACAACAACAAAAAATAAATTAGTATACAATTAAATAATTTAAAATATGTATAAATAGTAATTCAGTAGTTAAGATAAATGGAATAAAAATAATTTAAAAAGATTTTTCTGCTTAAATAATTTAGGCAGAAAAAAACAGAGAACATATAAAACAAATAAAATATGCCTAGCAAGATAGTAGATAATATCAACATTACTTAAATCTAATGATGCCAATTACATTAAGTGTAAATGGAATAAACACACCAATTAAAAAACAAACTGCCACATTCAAAGACCCAACCTTATTTTGACAAGAAAGTCACATGAAAAATAAAGATGACAAAAATGTATTAACAGGACAGAAAAGACTACATGACCCAAACTGTAATGAAAAGATAGTGGGACTAGCTCCATCAGACACAGTAGATTTGTTACTAGGAATATAGACAGTGCATACTGATATGGTATCAATTCTCTTAAAAACAGACCTTTGACACAGGAAATAAAAATTCATATACCAATAAAGAAACAGATAATCGCACAGTTATAATTGGTGACTCCATCATTTCTTAATCAACAAACAGAAAAAGTAGACAGAAAACTAACAAGTGTGTAGATGGCTTAAACATTATCAACAAACTTGATTTCACTGCCATTTATAGGACATTCTGCCCAACACTAACACGATATAAATTCTTTGCAAGTGAACATAGAACAGTTGCCAAGATAGATCATCTTCTGGGTCATATAACAAATCTCACCTAATCTGGAAGAACTGCAATCTCATAAAGCATGGTGTCTAATATAAATCAATGACAGAAAGGTAACAGATTTTTATAAATATTTGGAAATTAAACAACATGCTCTATATAGCCCATGGTCAAAGAGAAAGTCACAGGAGAAGTTAAGGACTATTCTGAATTAAATGACAATGAGAACACAATGGTCAACACGTATCAGGCAGAGGGAAAGCAGCGCTTCGAGGGCAGTGAGTACCGCCGTGAGAAAAGAACGGTCCCACACCACGGGTCCACCTGTCACCTAGAGCAAGCAGGGCAGAGGAAATAATACGTCCAAGGGCTTATGCTATGAAATTTAAGCCAGAAAAAAACAGAGGAAATCATCGAAACCGAAAACTGGCTGTTTTAAAAAAGAATAAAATCTTTTAAAAACTGATTTCTATCTTGACAATTGAGTTTTATACTTTCTCCTACATTAGAATTTTAATGTTTATCATGTCATTAAAATAAATTTGTTACTTTTCATGATTAAAGTGTATAAATTGGCTAGAGAAAACACCAGACTCTTAGTTTCTAGCAATAAACGGTCTTCATCCTAGTAAACTCTGGTTCTAGTCAATATAAAATATTTTTGCCACATTCTTGTTTTATAATTCTAATGAACAGATTCCTGATTTTCAATGGCTATAAGGGAAAGAGTACCAGCTTAGTATTATCAATGTATGATATGAGGTATTGTTTTATAAAAGCCAGTTCTAAGATCTAAGATGTCTGAAATTCATGGTGCTTTATAGAAAAAATTATAGATAAAAATATTATATATACACACACACAAAGAAAGAGAAATAGAGACAGAGAGATCTATATGTTAGAGGCATATATAAATCTATATATTGTACATCTATCTATCCATCTATTCAAATGAACAACTCCATGTGGTAAAACTTCTCTTGATTTAAAAAATGAGGAAATTAATTATCTTGATTTAAAGAAAGAAATTGAGGCTTAGATAAATTAAATAACTTGCCAGAATTATACAACTTCGTAGAGATAGAATTTAAATCTGGGTCTGACTGTAAAATCCACCCACTCATCCACCCATCTGCTGTGGATTCAAGTACAGAGAAGACGAACACTACTAAACTGTTCTATTTCTCATTAACTCCTTTTGGCCTCAAAGAGTTAATGCTCCTTTCAAATGCCCTCCTGAGTAGAAGAAACTGGCTGCACAGAGTAGCAAAACATTGATAAATCATTTGGAAACTTCAGTTGCCTTAGACATTGTTTTTTAAAAAACAGAGAAGAGGTCCAATAAAATTGAAGTCCAGAGGCGGCGCCCTGCATACTCACTGATAACTCATACTGAGAAATATGAATAAGTATTCAAACTTCTGGAAGAAAAAATCACAGTGTACAACCACTGATAGGTAATTGATACAGTTTCCTTCCCCAAGATAGCAAACTTTAACTTATATTGTTTTCATAACTTGTTCTCTAATCAATTTAGCCTAAGCTGACTTAATTTTAGTATTATCACATTTCTCACACAATATTTGTTTCCACAAACTTTTGCTTCCGTTTTGGCCAAAACCTTTCATGATAAATAGAAATTAATTCATTTTGGTGACTTTTATGCCAGGCACAAAAATCCTGCAAATAATCCTCCCAAGAATTTTTGGCACAATGCATGGTTACAATTTACTACCTGGTAATTGCTTTGTTGGAAAAATTGTTAGTTTAGTATCTCGGAAAAACTACTGCCTCTTTGAAGTGATCTACAGTGACCAAAGAGCCTCCTAATGTCAAATGATCGGTCCTTCAGTTAGGAGAGAGAGATACTCACGGCTGAGCCCCGATTTCTCGGAGATGGTAGAAGAGCTGGGGGAGGTGAGTCTGAAGGAGAGTTTCAAACAGCAAACACAGCGACACGATGCCCTGCGTACAGTGACACATCACAGGAGAAGTGCATATTTTAGTATGTACACGTTAACTCTGTTGATAAATTATTCAAGTGAAAATGAGAAAATGATTATCAACATAAATATTTTTCAACATATTTTTCTAGCATTTTTAAGAGTCAAAAACAGGAAATGCACTAATGACCTCCAACATTTTGTTTAGGACATAGTTCATCCTTCTTTATGGAAACCTACTGTTAACAGATACGCAACGGAGCCTCCTTTTTAACACAATGGGCTCTCTGCATAACTTAGTATGTAATTTTCAGAGAGTCCAAAGAAAACATCATTTTATAGAAAAGCTGCTAGTTTGCAAGCTATGCATTATCACTTAGGCCCAGCAAAATTAGTTTTTTCTGGATGCATTCCAGTTTCCAGGTATTTCTCTGGTGCTATAGCCACACCCTTTACTTTCTCTCCCCATATCTCCCTTCCCTGCCAACTACCTCACCCTCCAGGGAAAGAATTTCCTGCTCCCCCCACCCCACACTTTCTTTGAAATCCATCCACAGGGAAAGACTAACTGCTGACTGCTTGAAATTTGTACCAGAAAGTGATCAAATAAGAATTTTGATTATTTTGTATAATGGTTAATTAATTAATTTTTTTTACTGAAATCTACTTTCTTAAAAGGGCATTATTTGTAGAGTACAGGAAATAACCAAATTAAGCAGATGGTTTTTCAAGTGCATTTATTACTTGACAACTCTGAATAAAGTCTTTCTTGCAGCTAGGCATTCCTCAGGGTTGACTTTGGTAAGGAAGTTTTAATCCTCTTTCTGAATTTCTAAAGAAGAAGGGCTGTAATGCTTCCAAACAGTTCACGGTGGCCACACGCCAGAGCCAGAAACGGAGAGGCCGCCTGTAAGGCCTCAGTCCACTGAATAGAGAGCGGGCGGAGGCAGGGCTGGCCCAACCACTTAGCCGAAAAAGGGCACCTCAGGGTCAGTGTGGAGACAGAGAAGGGATACCCGGCATTGCTCGGCGTCCGGCTTCAGTGCTCTGCGCGGGGAAAACACCACGGGCGTGTACACAGCAGTCAGCTGAAAACAACTTTTTTACTCTGAAGCATAAAATGGTATAGAATATGAGTGTAAGAAATCTGATGCTAAGAAGGGGGTATTAGGAAAAAGAATTATTAATATATTCCTGATTATTCTAGATTAGACATTAGTGTAAGATGAGCACTAAGTCAAGCTGTCTCAGAGAGAAGGAACCCAAAACAGCGGGCGGTGCTCCACGTGTTCGTCGGTGACACCCTGGTTTCTGCCGCTGGTCAGCTTTCACTAGCTACGCGCCAGAGCAAAACGGAGATGGAGGAAGGTGGGCTAGGGGTCCGTAGTCAGCGGGAGTGGGGGCGGGGGAGGGCGAAGGGCAGCTGTCTCGTTTAGTCTCCTCTTTGGGGCAATTTGGTAGCCCGGACACATTCTGATTCAATGTTTCAGTCAGCTGAGTTACTCACAAGTAGACCAAAGCAGGCCCAAAGATGGAACAAGTAGAACTGAAATAAAGTGAACACTGCTTATCCTCAGGCTCATAGTGGGGAAGAGATTTTGGAAAGGACCAGCCAAAACAAAACAGATAAAAATGTTCAACTCCCAATATGTCTCTCCTTGACTTTCATATTGAGGCCAAAGGAGCTACCTATTGAATAAACACAAAGAAAATATCGAGTATGATAACTGATAACTAGCCAACAGGAAACTGAAAAGTAACTGACAAATACAAATTTGGTTTTCCTTAACAACAAAGAAGAGCAGATGATGGTGACGATGATGATCATAACAAGAACAATAAAAACAGCAGCCGTTCACTGGACACCCGCCGCGAGCCAAGTCCTGCCCAGGCGCTCTGCAGCCGTCTCCAGAGCACCACAGAACCGTCTTCCAACCTCGCTGCGTAGGTGCGGAGATCGGCGTTCAAAGAAGGTAGGCGTTTTTGCCGAAGGGAATGATACAGAAATTTCTGTGTTTTTCTTTCAACACATAGAAGATCATTTCAATGCAATTGATGAAGGACTTTTCCCTCTTAATTATTACCAAAATTTTCAAATATCAATTGCTTATTCTCTTTCATTTATTCTATAGAAACACATTGGTGACACCACAAATTAAAATTAGTTGCTTTATCATTTCATTGAGAGACTTTTTATTTCTCTTGAGTAAGAGAAATAAAAACAGATTTAGAGTCTGATCCGATCCAGTTTTCCGTGAACTTACGGAGGGGTGAGAGGAGATGGAGTGGAGTCTGAAGAAAAAGCGCACATACATCTCACGGAATATCTGGTACAGTTTGGAAGGCTCGTGGTACAGGAAACACAGCGGTGCAACTGAAAGAATACAAAATCCATCTATAATACTGCAGGATGACTAAAAGTGTAACGTATAAACTCTGCATCATCTACTTCTTCAGTGAACATTTTCTCCTTGGGCGTATAAACTTTAGACTATTTAAATGACCAGAAATGTGAATAGGCAGGAGCTGATGTATTCTGTACTCTTAAGAATTGGAGGTTTACACTTTCTGACATCATTAACTGTCCTCCAATCATTCCAGTTCACCTTTAAAAAACTACTTACTTGAAAAATTCTTGCAGGTGCAATTATTACGATAGGATAAAAAGGCTAGCATTTTTATTATTAGAGGTAAAAATGTATGTCTTAACCTTTTTAGGTTTCCTATTTTAAATTCCTCACATGTTTACATAAGAGAAGAGAGCAGAGTGCTCTGTGGTCCACGATTTCTCCAGACGACTGGGTGCACGGCGAGGTCACACCGAAGTGCTCAGTCACCGTAATCAACACCGGCAAGGACAACACAAGCAAAGTTCCTGGGTCCTTTGCATCATTTCATTTACTTTTTATTTTTCATTTTTTTAAAGATTTTATTCATTTATTTTGAGAGAGAGGGGTAGAGAGGGAAGAAGAGAGGGAGAGAAAGGTCAGCGTGTGGTTGCCTCTCGAGTGCCCCACACCGGGGACCTGCCCTGCAACCCAGGCACGTGCCCTGACTGGGAATCAACTGGAGGCCCCTTGGCTCGCAGGTCAGCACTCAGCCACTGGGTCACACCAGCCAGGCTCACTGACTTTTTATTAAAGTAAAGCATCAATGTGTTTCTGTTGAGCCTAAAGGTGGAGAGACAGCAACAGTGGGGACAACAACCTTCAACAAATTCATGTATAATATACGAGCATTTACAAATGAAGTAATATTAAAGTGTAGAGCATTCCTTCTCTGATAGTCTTCCGTAAGCCTCTTGCAGTCCTCATTCAATGACTTGTAAGGCACCGCAGGGGAGGGAGAATTTTCCTCTGCCCTACAAAGGTTCGTTCGGGAGGTCTAATAACCAGACAAGCAGGAGGCATACATACAGGAGAAAATCAAATGAAGTTTTGTACATAAGGGAGTCCCCCACACATGAGAGAGTCAGAGACCCCACATGCACGAGAGGCTCAGGGACAGGAAGGGAAAACAGTGATACGGCCCCTGCGCTACGGAATGGGAGGGCGTCCCGAGGCCCCAGAGGGGAAGAGGGCGCAGGCCAGCAAGAGCACACCTTCAGTAAATACAGGGGTGGCAAATGTAGGTTTACAGTTGTGAGTGAACGAAACACAGAGTTCGCTCTTGTGTTATCATTTATTAATTCTTATGTCATGTATTAGTATTAACCGACTTCTGCCCGCCCCTGTAGATGTTTGCCCTGACACACAGATAGGTCACATCATTTCTGGTAGTAACTCTTTTATGAACCATGCCCCAATTTAAATTCTTCAGGGGAGAGGTAGAAGTCACTCTTGAGCCTTGCAGGGTCTTAATCGCCTTTAGCTCAAAACAACCCCCATGTTCTGAACCCCTTGAGCACTCAGGGCTCCCCTGCCTGCACGTGTGTGTCTCACAGGCACTCGGGATGACCAGGCTTTGCACAGCACTCTTCTGGAGAAATCATGGACTCAAACTCAGTGTGGTTTCTCACTTTGCATTCTTTCTGCCCTATTAGTTTCTCAAAAGACTTATAAGAATTAGTTCAGGAATTTAAGCCACTTCATCTTGTATCTATTAGAACTAAATATTAACACATGTCCCCGGTTTCCACTGGACTAGAAAACGGTAAGGCACTGAACCACTCCCCCAGGATGCCTCAGTTCTCATTTGTCAGGCGAGCACCATTTGAGCAATTACGGTGATACTTTCTTCCTCTGGACACATAAACAAATACTAAACTCAGTGTTCAAAAACGTTCACAACAACTTCAGTGTGTGGGTGATGTGCTGACAGTGTGATCTTCATGTTTCATTTTCTAAGTGTAATAAAACAGTGAATTATTTTCAAGCCCAACTTACCATACATTGAGAATCCATGAAAGGGGATGACACCTAAAAAAATAAAAGAGAATTTCCTTTTGATTAGCATGCCCACTGAACTAGTAGGTGAACTTCAGGATTAAAATGAAAACAGAAAGCCTCCCTATCTTTGTTTCAGCGTTGTTCGGGAAAGTCACACAGACTTGGCGATGGCGGCGACACAAAGCTAGGCCTTCCGATGCCTTTAGAAAAGCACACTAGAGATCAGCACTATCTAGCCAGTTAGTTTTCTACTGATGATGTTGAAACCAAACTTTGAATATATATTACAAAAACAGAAAAAACAGAACAAGGCAGTTCATAGAACTAAGTTAAAGAACTAACTATAATGTTCTCAGAAAGGCAACAGATTATGTCCTTCCTGAAACAAATTCATCTTGTCCATTTTAATTCAACTTGTTTAAACGGGAAATGAGCGTGTCAAAGTACCTCCCGTAGAGATGTATTTCTCTGTAAACTTACCGAAAATTATATCGCAGAATGTGGTTTAGAGAAAGTAGTGGCAGGAGTATGGTACAAGCAGTGTAATCTTCGGCAAGAATTATACACAAGTGAAGTACACATCTGCCCCAAGGAAATACTCGAAGCCTAACTCAGTGCGCTACACAGCCTGTCGCATGGCGAGTGAAAACTCAGAACCTGGACAGCTTCGGTTCAAAGCACAAATTCTGCAACATGCACACCACTGTACATCTATCACTGTACCAAATCAGGTGCGAACACACTACAGACGAAAGCTGAGACGTTTCCCGTTTTGAAAAATAGCACAGAACTTCCTTCATCCGACACGTTCAGAGGCAGGGACTTAGAGGTCATCTAGAGTCAGTTGTAACAAATGACTGTTCAGTCTCCATTTAAATGCGCCCAGCACTAGGGGATGCATTAATTCCCAGTGTGAGCAGTTACTATTTTGAACAGGTTTAATTTGGGAGGAGATGTTTCTCACACTGAGTCAAACTCTGGCTCCGTGTGAGCCTCGCTTATTATTCCTGGTTCTGGCCGCAAAGGTCACACAGAACGAGTCTAACTTGTCCTCTTTGAAAACTTTCAAAAATATTTAAGGGCATTTTTCTCTCCCCCCGCCCCCATCACCACCAGTATTTCTTTTTCTCTAAGACTTCATGAGTTTCTTTTCGGTGAAATTATTTTTCAGCGACAGGGGACTTCACGGGTTTCTGCAGCCGTCCCTCAGACAGAGCCCTGGACAGCCTCCTCGCTCGGGTTTCCTGCGGACGGGCTGCAGGTCCCTGCGGTCCTTACAGGGCGGTGACTGAAACCTCTGAGCCCCTTTCTCCCTACAGACCGCACAGCTACGGCTCGGCGCACTCGTGCTTGTCTGGGACCTACACGAAGGATTACATTCTTCTCGCTACTGCATTTGTCTTCTGGTGAACCATTCCAGTAATGTGTTCCCCACTCTTCCTGGTTCCCCAGTACTGAACGACTCCTAAGTACACTATCTGTATCTCCCTAGGTACACTGTCTACATCGTCTCATGAAGCACTGTAAAAATGCCGAACAAGACGGAGTGAGGAAAGGACCTGTCACTAGAGACCTTCCCCCACTCTGACAGTTATTTATTAATCAGCACCTTATTGAGGCTTTATTAAAAGCACAGGCAGACTCAGCTGGATTCATCTAGCTCTATCACTTAAGAACTTGGTGCCCTTGGATGAGTTTAACTTCTCCAAGCTTCAGTTTCCTCACCTGTCAATCAGAGATAATGCTAGAACCTACATGACAGGATTAAATGAGATATGGCTGTACCTTAGCCATTAATAAATAAATACTTAGGTCCTTAATAACAGTTCATTATTAATATTATCACTTACAAATTAGCTCATATTTCTGTTGTTTCCAGAAGTAATTTTATCAAAAAAGAGTATGAGAAAAATCCAGTATCATTCTGAACTCTATATACAGCATGCCAGGCCAACGATCTTTAGAATTCTGCACAGCCTCACTGGCTGTGACCCTCAGGATCTGCTCCCCCACTCCCCCCATCTTCCAGAGCATCCACATTCACGCCGTCCATCTCTGGCTGGATCCTGTGGTGCCTACCCATTTCCTTGTTCGTCTCTGTTTATCAGCCACCCTGCTCCCTTCACATGCCTAACACGCAACTACAGACCCACTCTCCTCCTCGCCAGGGGGCTGCTGCCGTGAACTCCCTCACGTGTCTGTTCTTCATCCCGAATGCTCCTCACATGTTGCACGTGTCTTTTCATTTCCTGTCAGGGAGGGTTTCCAATGAACATGTTTCCTTTTTCTGTTCCAGAGCGGAACACCTTTGTCTGAGTCTTTAATCCCATTTCCTCGAAGCTAGAAGCAGGTTTGTGGCTTGTTTTTGTGCAGCCTGTGAGCTAAGAATGGCTTTTACATTTTTAAAGAATTATTTTTTAAAAATTCAACAAAGAAGAATGTGTGACAGAGACTGTCTGTGGCCTGCAAAATTTAAGATATTTACCACCTGGCCTTTTTTTTTTTTTTCCCAGAAAAAACTTGCCGTCCTCTGCTTTGGAATCCTGCACCATCAATTCCCTATGACCCCAACTTCTGATTGGGAAATCCAGGATCTCCTCTCTGGGTGTCCTGGCCCCTGAGCACCTGAAAGTCCCTCCTCAAATGTGAGCCAGCCAGAAAATTCTGCCGCTCACCCTTATTGTTGTGCTGTGTTTCTGGCTCGTTCTCTCTGCGGCCCACTCATTAACTGTGGCTACTGCCCTAGGCACTCGGTCATATTTGCTTCCTCTCTCCTTCCACCGGTATCTCTCTATTAACCTGTGACTCAAACGGGGAAAGCCGGGTATGTTGTGCCTCCTTCCGTATTCCCTGTTTCTGTAGAGGACTCCCTACCTCCCTGGTCTTCAGGGAAGAAAGCTGTGCGTCATCCCTGCTCTCCAGTTCTGCCTCAGCCTTCAGCCCTAAGTGCGGCTGGTTCCTTTCTGTCCCTTTAGGCCCTAGCGTAAAGGACACTTAGCTGTTCAGGATCTGGCCACATCCTAAATCAGCAGCTTCTTTCTCTTCCCTACCCATAAGCACAACTCTAATCCTGTCTAGTTCATTGCCACTCAGGCTTAGGACCAGGGCTGTAATGCTCTCTTCCACCTCCAGCCCTGTCCCGGCCCCACCCCTTCAAGATTTTAACAACACTCCTCCTCAAAAGATCTCCCCAACAGCCCCCTACTGTTTGCCCCCATCGATTCCCCAAGCAGCACTCTTCTATCAACTGACTTACCCTGACTGACTGAGATCCCCTTTCTCCTCTCTGCGCCTAGACTACGCTGCACAATTTGGACTCTACCACTTTCTACCAGAGGACACTTGGGCCAGTTCACTCGCCTGTTTAGACCAAGGCAGGAGCAGGAAGGGGTCTTGGAGTAAGGGCCCTGCTCTGGCCCTCCTTTTAGACCACAACCCAGGTACCCAAGACTGAAATTCCAAGCCCAAGACCCCCCACCAGCTTCCAGGGTCTGCATGGCCCCTGTGGTGGGGCCACCTCTCCATCAGGGCGGTGGCCTAAGGGTGGCCCTTTGTGGAAGTGTGGGACGGAGCCATGCGTGAGAAGGGGCAGAGACAGCACAAGCTGGGACTGCTAGGAAGTCTGAGAATTCTGAATTTGAACCTGGCCTTTCAGATTGTTATAAAAGTATACAGAGATGGGCAATAGTAGGTTTACAGTTGTAACACAAATAAACAATCCAATAATTAAAGAATAATACTACAAGGATAAACAATGTTTCACATACTCACAACTGTAAACCTACTTTTGCCCACCCTGTATTTGTCAAGACAAGAAAACAGAGTAGACATTATCAGTTCATTAGTCTCATTTATAACATTAAAATATCCACACTATGGTAGGTGGGCCTCCATTTGTACTCCTGCTGTGGACCCTGCAAAAGTTAGGGATAGACCTGTCTTCACATATAAAATCAGGACAATACCGGTGAGGCTGTGAGGATTAAATATCTATGTAATGCGACATAGATATAGTAACTCAACAACTAATGTTTTCTTCTCTTATCACAGTGTGTTGTAACCATTTTTTGTTTTTCTCTCTCCCAATAGAATAAACCCGGAGTACAGAAACTGTGCCTTATTTATCTCTATTCCCGGAGATTAGCACAGTACCCAGAATTTAATAGGTACTTGTTAAGTGTTGGTGGGATAAAGATATGAAACCCCAGAGAATCTACCTCCACCATTTTTCAACCATTCCTTTCCTTCCTACTGCCAGGGCCTGAATTCAGGCTCGGATGAACTGTCACCTATGGTCCTGCTAAATGATGTCCCTTCCCCCGAACTCTCAGCCCTCCAACCAGCTTTTGTATGGTTCAGGTTGTCTTCCCCGAATGCTGGAGAGACCGTGGAAAAGGCCTCTACATCACACCCATGGAGGGCTTTCCACCGACCACTTCTTCATCCACTAAATATTTGCTGAGCTCCAACTCATCCAATTAACGGATGTTTAAAAACCTACTATGTAGCCCCTGGAGATATTAAATATATTTCACCTATATTTATGGAATTTACATGTTAACCTTATGATATAGGCTAAGTGTCTACAGACTAAAATTCAAAAACTTTAATCTGGTTTTAATCATTCACGATGACAACTGAGACACATCCCCCACCCCCACTTTTACTGACATACAATATTAGTTCAGGTGTTCAACGTAATGATTTGGTGTTTTTAGACATTGTGAAATGATCGCCACAGTGAGTGCAGTTACCATCTATCACCACAGAAAGGAAAGAGAATACTGGTAACTCTAGATGCTGCATGCTGCATCGCTGTGACTTCTCTTAAAAGTAGAAGTTAGTCCCTCCTGATTCCCATCGCCCGTTTGCCTGCGCCACCTGCCTGCCTCCCCTTTGTCACACATACCCACTGTGTATAGCCACAGGTTATTTATCACCCCAGAACTCATCGTGCATTTTCATACTTCGGTAGTTTTCAATTTGGTAATACTATACCCTACCATGCTTTTGTTTCCTACTCAGCCTAT